CAAAAATTCATGTATATATGTATATATATATATATATACATATATAATTTAATAATATATACAATATGTACAATTATAATATTCCGGAGAGAAAAAACACAAAAAAATTCACTTATTCAGTATATACATACTTATTGAGTATATAACTAAATTGCGTTTTTAAATACATAAGTCAAAATGGTATTACCTAAATGTTCAATTGGTTTAGGTAGGCGCTCTCCATTCTAAGATAGAAATAAAAATCATCAACAATAATAAATTCTAATTCTAATATTTTTGATTTCTTAATTTATACCTTTTTTTGTTAATTCACAAACGCTTATTAAATTCAAACATAAAAATATATATATATAAATATATATATAAAAACATATGCATATATATATATATATATATAAATATATGTTTATATAAGTAATACATTGATATTGGATTTTTAAAAGGATAATAAACAAGGATGTTATACAATAACATAAAATTGTAAAGTGTATTATGTCATATGTAATATTATGCAACACTGTGCAACAGCATGAAATACAATCGTTTAAATTTTTAAATATAGTAAAACAAGGACGAGCAACAGACAAAACTATTGTCAAATTAAAATTATTATACCTTAATACTGTTATCAAGCAAGATAGAATAATCTTAAAAAATTTTAGGGATCCTAAATTCTAAATTTTATTTTATGTACGAAATTTGTTTTACAATATGATTGAATGAAAGTTATATAATAAAAATTGTAAGTATAGGTACATACATACTTATACATATACATACATACATATACACATATTCAACTATTCATGTGAATTCAACTTAATGTGAAATCAAAACAAATATGTAAATGCATGTACATGCATGTAAGTATGTGTGTATATGTAATACAAGAACCTAAAATAAGAACCAAAATTTATGATTTAATAATGGTATTTAATAATAGTAAAAAGGTTACATTACCTTAAATTTTCATGTATTTTCGAGAATTCTTGTACAAAAATATTGCGTTAAAGTCTCTTATCGATATGTACATATCTAACTACATGATGTATGTATATACATATATACATATATGTTTTCACTTCACATATTTTCATTAAGTAGCTGCCTTTTTTTTTTAAATTTAAGACAAACATTTATTTTGATGGCATTAAATAATAAATCAAAAACAAACTACATATTCAGATATTCTCAACAAAATACCCATTCATTGCCATTATTTTAAAATTTACAAAATTAATTTTCAATTTGATAATTTTAACTTTTATAAGTAACTTCGAGAATTGAAAAAATCAAATCAAACAACTACATCTTCCAAAATTTCAAATATATGTAATTTTATATGTACATATGTACATATGTACATGCATGCATACTACTAATGTATGGATATGGTATGAATGCATACATAATATTATATAGTCCTGAGGTGGGGAATCTGCGACCTCGAGACCGCATATGTCCTTTAAGGGTTTTTGTGCGGCCTTGCCCCGCTGCCTTTTGTATTTGCATGCCCTTTAAATATTTAATTGCTTTCAAGTAGAAAAGAAATGCAAATGTCTCACTAATTAAAGCCTAACTTGAATTAAATTTATTAAACAATGAATTTCAAGTTGTTTTTTTTTTTTTTTGTTATTTATATTTAATTATTTACTCTTCATTGATTACATTAATTAATAACTGTACAAAACCTACATTTATTGGTATTAAAACTTATGCGGCCTCCTTAAACTTATGAAGTTGTTATTAAATTTGGCCCACTTGGGTAAAAAGGTTCTCCACCTCTGATATGCATATCCATTATGATTTATGTATACATGTATGTACATATAAAAATTATTATGATCGTTCGTTTTACAAATTATTTAAAACTTCTTTTGGCAATAAAATATGTAACACATTTAAACAAATAAAAATTATAAAAAGAACAGATTTTATAGGAAATTTTATATTAGAAAACATTTTATCACATTATATTTAATTATTACCTAATGTTCTTAAAAATGAATTCTTTAATATTTCTTATGAAATTTATACACTATAAATTTTAAATTTCTTGTTATTAAGTTCGATTCGGTTTTTATTTAACAAAAAATAAGTGCAAATTTAATATTTATGTATGTAATTGTTTTTTAATATTTAATTGAATAGAGTAGTTAATACCGCGGTTACTTGAAAATTGAATATGAAACATGTTTAAACATTCCAACTTTGTTAACGAACACATACTCATTCAATTCTTATTCTTATATTAGAAAAACCGTTAATAAACTTTTCAACGTACTTTTTGATTGTTATATTTAAGCATACATACATACTCCTTTAAATCTCTCTTTGTGTAAATTTATGTGTATGTATGACGCCATAACAGAAATTATAAATTTTGAATTTCTTGCATCAAATTTGTTTCCATTAAGATTTTATTATTTCTTCTTAATTCTTTCAAATATTTTGAAATTATATTACAATTATTTTTTTTTTTCAAATTTAATTTAAAAACAAAACTTGAAATTATTTCACCATATTTCTATTTTAAAATTTTATTTAAATTGCTAATTTGAAAAGTGCCATAGTTTTCAACACTCAAAAATCGAAATGAAAGAATTTTCAATTCCAAGAATCAAATACATGTGTATGTGCATATTTTCTAAATGAACACAATATACATTTGTATATGTATACTTAATTTTTATATTGCAAAAACCGTTATTTTACCTAATATAATAATATTTTTATACAGACATTTTTATGTGTCACAAACACATAATATAAAGGGTGTTTTGCATAAGGTGGCAAATAATTTCATGGATGATTCTTTAATCAATTTCCAGCAAAAAATTGTATTGGTGGGATTGTACGGGGGTGCAAATTAATTTGCCTAATATTAGACTCTTGTTTTTCAACTATTCTTAGAATTTGACACTATTGTCAAAAGTTTAAAATGTGAAAAAGGCATTTTAAGTATCAAAGCAGAGCAAAGCGATAAAGAGCAACATCGGACGATTTCCGTTACTGTTAACCCAGAACATCAGGTAAAATCCACTGAATAATATTTTGCATATAATATCGCACAAACATGGAAAATGATGATGTCAAAACAAAAATCAACTATTATTTTTGAATAATCGTTTTTCTGAAATGAAAAATAAAATATGTACATACTCGTATTATGAATAATAGATTTTGTTTTTATCAAAACAAAAATAACAAAATTTTTACCTAACCTAATTTAATTTTATTTCAGTTCGCTATTTTTGATACACTCGTTCGTTTACGATATTTTGTTTCTTTCTTACCCACATACTCTTATTACCATCTATTTCTAAGTGAAAATTGAATATTTTGAGAATAGTGGAAATGGCAAAAAAACAAAAAATGATTTATGTATGTGTGCACTTTGGTTTGCAAGTGAGTGGTAAGCTTTTTAATTCAAATAAATACATAGTATGAGAATATTCGTTTAAATTATTAAAAAATCAAAAATTTCATATATTTGTTATATTTAAATTGACATGTGAATATTTCGTTAAATGAAAACCGAATCGAACAAGAAAATCCAAACTTATGATTTCTCTTTTTGATGTCATTATAAATTTAAACAAAGAAAGATTTTAAGGAATATTTCTAAGGAGATAATAGACTTAAATATATTAAAAATGGATACTTATGTTTACATAATTATAGTAAATTATTTTCAATAACAAAATTGCTTAAATAGTGTACCTACATATTATTATGTACATACGTATGTTATTGATTAACTCCTAAGGAATTTGTTCTAAAATTTTAGTGATTTACATATGTAAGTTTTTAATTCAAAATTAAATGTGCCTACTTTAGACTTACTATAATTTTCATTTTTGTCTTATTTCTATTTTTCATACACTAAAAGTTTGTATTTAAAATTCAGCGCAAAAATGAATTTAGTGTGTTTGTGAAAAATCCTTAATTTAGAAGAAATATAATTTTTGAATATAAAATTAGTTTTTTAATATTAAAATATAAAGCATTTTTAATCTTTATATAAAAAAAATCTTTAAAATCAAGATTTACCATTTAGTTTATAAATATAAAACAAGTTTTTTTTCAATATGGATTAAAATCAAAATTTGGTTAAAAATATTAACATTTATTTTAATTTGTGGCATAACTACTAGATATCTTTAACACAACATTTTTTCAAAAAACCTACAGAATACATACTTATATCCAGAAAATTGAAGGTATGTACCTGATTTATATAATAAATATTATAGGTAGTAGAATAAATTATTCATACATATTTTAATTTAAATATTAAATCATTAATATTAATTTATATTTTAATTATGTTCTGATATTTTTCGACATGCATTTATGTATTTTAATATTTATGTTAATAAGTTAATAAGTTTTATTGTTTAAAACATGGTTGTTAACACAATGCTGATCATTTTAAAATCATATGCTGGTATAAAATCATTTTTACATAATACATAATACACAATAAAACAACAATCAAATATTAAAATCAATCCAAAAACATGACATTTAAAAAACGAAATTTAAGGTTTTCGGGTTTTGTATATAAGATTTTCTTGCATGTTATATTATTAATTCAGGTAATTTATAGTTAGGGATAGTTTTCATTTTATAAATTTTTTTTTATACATTTTTATAATTTTCTTTTTTAATTTAATTTAATATTGACTTATACGTGTTGTGTGTATTAGTTAACCATTTTTTTTTAATTTTTAAATTATATATTTAAATATTTTTAATAATTTGATTAAATTTTAATTTTTAAATTTTTTAAAAAAATTTTTGTGTTTTTGTTTTTGTTTTTTTTTAATTTATCTTAAATTTTTAACTATTTTGTTTTATAAACAATTTTTTTTTTCTTGTTTTTTGCTATAACAAATAACAGTTTAGTTTTTTTTTTTCTTTTGATTTTAAATTTAAATATAAAAAATTAATTTTTTATTTTTATTAGAATATAAAGGAACAAAATGGTAATTTACATTAAATATTCATTAAAATTACAATTAAAAATTAATAAAATGTTTAAGAAAAAAATAATTCTATATATGAAAAATTTAAGTTAGAGGTTATTATAAGCTGGGTTCAACATTTCGTGGTCTTTAATTTTAACTATATATTATTTTGAGTTGAACTTAAAATTGAATAACAGTAATAATATAGCAATTTCGATGTTTTTTTATAATTTCTAGGCTTTATAATAAATAATTACATAATAAAGAATTTAAGTTCACTAACAGAATTGAAAATTCGAAAAAAAAATATATGTATTAAGAGAGTCTTCCTTTTATAAGAGAACCCTCGTTATGGGCGACTGTATAAGCCTTTATTGTTTTTTAGTCATACTCGTAATTCTAAAACTACAATTAGTGAATTTATTAAAAATTAGAAAAAAAAAATAAAAACTGAATTAAAATAATATATTTTTTTGTTTCTTTGTAATTTTTAGTTTTTAAAATTGTAAATGTTACAAATTATTTTTCTTTTATTCGAAAGTTATCGAAATTTTTTTTTAATACATAAGTATAGAATGAAAAAAAAATTAATTTAATTTGAAAAAATTGCTTATATTTTAAATTTTTTTTTTTTATCATTTTTAACTATTTTCATTTTTCATAGTGATGAATAATATATAATTAATTCATCATATTATAATAAATTTTATCAGATCGCGGACATACAAAATAAATTTTTTTTATTTTAATGATTGATAATTGATTTAAAATTTAAAAAACAAAAACCTTAATAGCAGACTCGAGTTTAGTTTGTCTTAATATGTATTTACATAAGCTCCCCTAAAATTACAATAATATTGTATTTCTTACATAATTCATCAATTACAGCACATGAACTTAACTATGTATTTAATGCAATATTACTGTAATAAATTAAGTCTCAGGTGTCTGCATTTTTAAGGTTGCAACATTTGCTTTTTTTGTTTATTTTCAATTTTATATGCTAATGTATTTTCACAGCAAAAAGATTTTGTGAGTTTTTTTTTTTTCAAAATTTTGCTGATAAATTTTTTGTTATGTGCCGTCGATTACGATAATTAGTATTGTTATTATTATTAATATAATTTGTAATATCATTTAAATTTAAATTCCTTAAATTTCAAACAGATGATGTTGCATGACATTCTGAATCAATAGTTAAACTTGATGCACGTAAACTAAGTGATGCCAATGATAAATTACTACGATAAAGTGGTCTTGGTGATGAATTTAATAAAAGTGCAGCACTATCTATTGTTGGTATTGTTGTTGAAATTCCATTTAATTCATTTAAATGTTGAATTGAACCATTATTAACATTGTTATTTATAATTGAACTATTACCAGCTATATTACTATTACCATTAATAATACCATTATAGCTGATATCGTTATTTAAATAATTGCTAACATTTGTACCTCCTCCAGCTGATGTTGTATCACCACATAAATGTAAACGGGAACTTAATACCTTATTACATGCTGGACATGCACGTGATGCTGTTTTATCACGTCTTCTTAATATTTCATGAGCACATCTATATATATATATATGTATATATATATATATATATTTATTATATATTATTATTTTTTTTTATGTATTTTATTATATATATTATTTTTTATACATATTCATTGTATATATAAAATAATATTAATAAATCATAAGTAAATACGTAATTAAAATCATTATACGAGTATAATATAGATAGATAGTTAAAAACCATTAAATTTATATAAAAATAGCAATTAATAAATCTTTTTTTTTCTTTTTGAGTGTATAAATTTGATTTTATTATTGATTTATATTTTTATTTTTATAAATTTAATTTAATTATTGTTATGTGTAATAAATTTTTGATTTTTTCTGTATTTGTAAGAGACGAGATAATTTTTTCTGTATTTACGTTTTCTGTAAGTTCAAAACCAATAGAAATGAAAATAGAGAAGAGAAACAGAAAGATAGAAGGAGCTTCAATAGCAAAAAAAATAATAGGATCACTTAAAAAAAAAATACAAATTCGCAGAGAAAAATAAGATGCATACATTTGGATTAGTATTTTCAATATGATCCAATATATTATTATATTTATTATAGTATTCAATCTGTGTGTATATACAAAAAAATTCGGTCATATATACATAAATACATTTACCTACCTACATATATCTATCTATCTACCAAATCCGTTTTTCTTTTTTATTAATTTATACATATTAGTTATTATAAACATTTGTATATGTATATATTTTTTGTTTATGATCACATACCTAGAATGTAAAATATGTGCACATGGTAATGCTTCTAATGAATCTGGCTCATTACCAAAAACTTCACCGCAAGCACCACAATTTAAACCAAGCGCTGCTTCTGTTTGTGTTGCCAATCTTGAATGAGTTTTATATTGTTCTTCATCTCCAAGTGCACGATATATTAATGATAAACGGCTACGTATTTTACGTACTAAAAGCTACAAATAATTTTAAAGAGAAAAAATAATATTAAATAGTCACGAAATTTCTTTATTTAAACAAAAAAAAAAATTTAAAATTAATAATTAAAAAAAAAAAAATCTTTTAACACTTAACAAACCTTTGCACCAATTGAACTAGCAACTTCAAGTAATCTAGTATTAAATTCTAATGGGCGACAATTACATATTTTTTGTTGTAATCTTAATGATTCCAAACAGCGTGCAGCACCATCCATTGCCTCCATTTGTGCCATACGATCACCTAATGCAGCAGCTGTACCCATTGCTTGTTCATATTGACGAAATGCACGCTGGAAATATAGAAAAATCTTCGATGAAGATTTTGTATTCCTTATAGTATTACTGTGCGGTGTTGTTATATTATTAGTATTATTTCTAATATTATTATTATTATTATTATTGTTATTGTTGTTATTATTATTATTATTATTGTTATTACTATAATTTGTAATGTCATTATCATTATCATTTTTAATAATATTATTTATATTTTTATCATTGTTATTATTATTATTTATTTGTTGATTTTTTTGATCAATTAATTTTTGAGTAGAAGTATTAGTTAAATTAAGTGTATTATTTAAGCTCACATCAATGTCCATTTTTTTCCTATAAATGTCACCCATAATACGTATACTTCTTGTATATGTTGCTTGATCGCCGGATATTAATGATAAACGTGTAGCTTCCTATATTGTATATATACATATATTTATATATTTATATATACATATAAAAATATTTTACATACATATATTTATATATATGTATGTTAATATATATATATATATTTAAATAGTTAAAACAATATTAATTAATATTTTCCAAATAATTATAATTAAGAAAAAAATTAAGAACATTTAAAAACAAAAAAAAATTTTTGGTTATAACAATAACTTTGAACTGATCAATTTAACTAAATTTAATTCATGCCGATTTTATTTAAAAATAATAATAATTTAAGTTGCGTTTATTTGTTAAAATTTTTTTAAATTTTTTTCAACTATTTTTGGTTAGTTTCTGAACGAAAGGACGGACTCGACATTGAACAAGAATGTGTATCTTTCAACTTTACAAACTGAATTGTAAATTAATGGTATTCTACGAAAATATTTTCGTGCCGGTATAACTATTATCGATCGCTTTGACTAAAATTACAGTAAAACTGTATTGTTAGACAATTCAGAAACCCAGTTATCTTCTGAATTGTACTGTGATTTCTGATTATTAACCAAAAAATTAAACGATTAAAAAAGAAACAAAAAAAAAATAAAAAACAAAATGAATCCTTAACATACCATACAATAATCGTGTGCATCACCAAGTTCTCCTTGTTTTCTTAATGCAGCTGCCATTCTTAGTAATGCAGCACGATGATGTGATGAATTTAAATCACCTAACTGTAATGATCTTGATAAATCATATGCTTTTGATGCATAACGTGCCGCTTTGTCATTATCTTGTAAACGACCAAACAATTCCGATAATGCAACATATACTTGTAATTCTAACGATGGATCACCAATTGATGTTGCAATTTTATGTGCACCCTGTAATCCTTCTAATGCACGTGAAAAACCACCCATTTCTAAATAAACTCTAGCAACAGTTAAATGTACTAAACCACCCGTACGACATTGAGTACCACATTCATTATATAATGAATGTCTTGCATATGATAGTGCTCGTTCTAATCCACCTAATTTTTCATGTGCTCTTGCTAAATTTAAATATGCTTCAGCACGCATTGTTGGTGAATCTAATTCTTCTGATATACCTAATTGCCTGTGACCAAATTCAATTGCTTCACGATATTTACCCCAATCCATATGAGCTTGATATAAATAACCCAATAATGTGAAACGATCTTCACGTTTGTTTGTTGCTTTTAAAGCGCTACGCCATGTTCTAACTGCTGCATTTTGATTATGTTGTTCATATAAACGCAAACCTCGTTCAATCTTTGAATATATTTGGATTATTTAAAAAAAGAATAATGCAATAAAATTATGTATATATTTTTTTTATATTATTATTATTACTTTTCTTCTTGCTAAGTATTGCTTAAAACTTCTTTGACATGCTAAAAAACAATCAAGTATTGAATTACGTGATCTAGAAAAACCATGACGTGTCCATAATGAAGTTCCATCGGGACTTGACCCGTATCCAGCCAATCTTGAAAAACTGTCATCCAATTGGCAAATGTCTAATTTTTTTTTTTGTGAAATTATTTAGAGAGATATAAAACACTATATAAAACAGCTATTTTTAAATTATTATAAAATAAATTAACATCTATACACTTACATATCAATAACTTGACTCGACTCAGTAAGGATACATACGGTACGTATGTATCCTTACATACCTTGACTTTTAAAATACAGTAAATTATGTAACTACAACTCACATGCTCAAGTATGTATAAATATCGCAAAACTACAATTTTAAAGTCAACATTACTCTTCTAAATAGACAAAAATAAAATATTGGCCAAAAAGTAAAAGTTAAAAACTTTAAAAAAATATACATATGTGTCCAATGTAACGTACTTAGCCTAAGAATAAAAATTTATAAGTGCATTCACTTCCATTGTTTAAATTCCGTTTGCACTCACGATATGCTAAGCATTAATTATTGTAGAAATATACATATAATATAAGAAAATAATAGGTTTTGTATTGGAAATGTTATAAAGAATGGATTTTGTATGACAGACAGATTTAGTTTGGTGTATGAAGGTTTGATTCGCCGATCTTAATGGTTAGTGGTTAATGATTTATTCGAAATAGGTATATCTTTTACATGAATTTGTGAAATTTTAAGACTATAACTGACTATACGAAAATTATGACATATTTCGGTATATATACACATTTATGTATAGTTATGTAGATTTGAAAGAAAATAGTTTGAAATCGAGGATAATAATATGTTGCGCATTTGCAAAGAATATTTAATTTTGTTACCTATAGTGTTGCACTTTCTTTTTAATTTTTTATGCTAAATCTACATTACTTGTGTCCTCACTCCCACATAATAATTTAAGAGAATACTAAGTTTTAAGCTTTCATTACGTCAAAAATGATATAATATATATGCATATAATAGTTGTCAAATCTTTTTTTATAAGAATAATTTCATTAATACACATATACCTGTAGCATTGTCCAAAGGATGTCTTGACCCATCAGGTGAAGCTAAAAGGTGTGTTGCTGATAAGTTATGGCTATGCGGTATGCTTTTTATTTTTTATTATTTTTTAATTTTAACATAAAGACAATAAATAACAATATTATTTAATTGTATTTCATTTTTTCAATAAAAATAATAAAAAATTTACCTAAGAAGATCCCTTGAAGCGATACTCTCCCATGACATGACTCCTTGAAAAATAATTTTAAAAAACTTTTTTATTTTTTTTTATTTTTTAAGAATATTGTAATGGCCTTTGGATTGCTTTGAATTTCCGTTTTCCTTTTGATATTTTTAACTTCGATATTTCAATTGTTTTTAATCATTTATTTTTGTTTTTTTTTTCTCTCCTTATTTTAAATTGAATCCTTATTTTCAAAAATTGAAGGTTCTCTTATTGTAAATATTTATTATTTAAATTTTAAAATAATATTTGATAGCTAAAAATTCTAGCGGAAAATAATAATTTTAAATAGGTATGATTATACAATATATTTGACTTCAAAATTATTAAAGTAATACATGTATAGTATCAACTAATTTAAGGCCACTCTGTATCAAAACTTTAATAAAATTAACTTTGACTATGTTACGTTTTATACAATTATAAAAAATTTGAAAAATTATATAAAATTACTTGCTTATTTCTATAATATTTTCGACAATATGGCTCTTATATAGGGCCTTTAATGAGTTAACACTGGTTTACAAATATGATTTATAAGAATTATATTTGATTTACTGAGAATATGTCATTTGTAAAATTTATATTATTTAATTACTTTAAATATAATTTTTTCATATATGTACATACAAACTAAACAATATTCATTGTGTCTGAGTTAATAAACAAATAAATAAATAAATAAAACTCAAAATTATTACTGCAAAAAATTCAAGATTGACTGCACATAATACAAGTAACATAAGTCCATTATAAATCTCATCATTTCTAAAATGGTTATTATTAAAAACACAAAACTAACCCAATTAGTTTAAAATATATTTCAATAAATATATTGCAAAAAATTATGTAGAAAAAAACAAAACTTTTTTTTTTTGTAATTATGTATTTTACATGTATTTATTTATTTAGTAAATATCTAGATAAGAGCCCCAACGCTTTAAACATTTACATGAGTGCCACTTGTATTGTTGTGCACAGTCAATATACATAAGTCAATATTTATTTAATAAATATTCTTCTTATCTTATAAAAAACATAATAATTAAATAATTTGCATCACTTCTTGATAATATATTTTGGTAAAGCTATTGAATGGAATTTATGGAATGTAAAAGAAATGTAATATATGTACTTATATGTATGTACATAAATAATAACAAATAATTCTCTGCATGATTTTAAGTATTTTTTGATGATTTTTTGCATTTATTCTGCAAGTAAATGCAATGGAAATTTTATATTGAACACTCTTCTATAATAATTTCTGATATTAAAAATTAATTATTTTGCATTCGAAATTAAGAAATTTTTAAAAAAATAATATTAATAATGTTAGCAAATTATTTCGTATTTTAATAATTTATAATTATATTTTTATAATTTTGCGTAATACATTTAGGCTGTATTTATTTTCTAAACTATTTTTCAACACAAAATATCATATTTTAATAAAAAAAAACAATTTTCCCAATACATTCTATTAAATAATAGAATGTATTTGAAATAGAATATTTTACTACACCATTCAATTCTTTATATACATATGAAGACACACATAATATGTAAATATCATGTTCATTTTTCAAGGATAATAATTTTTTCTGTTCTTTTTTTTTTTTTGTTTTTGCATATTTTCTCTGATATCACTATGGTGGTTATTATTTTTCTTTTTAAGTTTTCTTTCCTTCTTTTCTGCATCATTTATTTTCATTGAAATGCATGAAACTAAATAGTTTTATTTATTTTGAAAAAGGGATGATGATGATGATGTTTTTTAAATTGATTGCTAGCGGGAGGGAAGTAGGGAAGATAGGCAGGACAAAATATTAGACAAATGAACAATAACAGTAAGGAGCTAAAGATTCAAGGAGTATAAGAGATGAGAATATGAGATGAATTTTTTTTTATTCATAATATACAATGTATACATATGTGTTATGTCCTTATTGAAAAAAAAAAAAATGTAAATGAGAATAAAAATTGAAATTCTGAAATTTCGAAAAAAAAAAAACAAATATTAACATGAGAAATTAACATGAAAATGAAACGGTAAATTATTTATGTTAAAAATCACACACATTTTAATATAGTTTTCTCCAACTTATATAATTTAAAAAAAAAAATCCAATATTTTTACATATACACACATTACATTTACACACATACATCTTGCATTTTGTAATTTAAATATTTTCTAATTTTTTTTTTAATTTAATTTTTTTAATTGCATTTATAAATTTTAATATTTTATATTTAATTTTTAAATTAGCTATTTTTTTTATCTTCTATATTTTTAAAATTTTGTAACAAAAATAATAAATTTTTTCTTGTTTTGTTTTTGGTTTCTGAGTTTTTGGACTTGGATTCTTAAAATTATTGTATGTATGGGAACATAATATTTTAATTTTTATTTTTTCTGCTTTTTTTTTCTTTCTCTCCTCTTATTTATTAGTTTTCTGATGATAGATTTTACTTCAACATTATCGTTTCCTTTTGGATTCTCATTTCAAAGATTCTCTCTTTTTTTTTGATTTTTTTTTTATTATCTTTCTATCATCAAATATCTTTGTATCCTTTTCTATCATCGTAGCATAAATACATAAGTTAAGTACTTTTTAATTTTTATTATAATATAGTAAAACTCCATTTGTTCGACCTTTTTTGTTTTGGTAGACATAGCTTAAAAATTAAAATATATTAGTTCTCTCTCTTCTTAACTTCTCCGCAATTCTCTATGCAATCTTTCTTATAGGCCAATTTCTTTAGATGATATATAAACTCAGGCAAACAATATATTACGCGTGTTATTAATTTGATAGTATTGTAACCAAAATGTGTAACTTTCAAGAAAATTCGAGCTTTCAAGCTCACATAGTAAAAACGCTGCTTGATTTTCAAGATGATTTCTTTAAATTTAAATATCAAGTAACCAAAATTTCAACCATTTGATTTTAACTTTAATTTTATATTCCATAAGTTGGTGTTGTCAAAGTTTTACTGTAGGTACAAAATAAGTATAAAGAATTGAATGGTAATGATTTATTTATAAGTATAGAAATATACGTGGAAGTGTTAGTGCAAGTGTGTATTTATATGCAGAAAAAAATTTATCTTTTAATTATTAAAAATTTTAGTAATGAGAGAAAAACTTCAAAACCAAAGAGAAGATAGAGAAAAAATTTTTAGAAAAAAAAAAATAGGAATATATAAGGGTAACCTTTAATATCTGCCATTTCAATTTGACATGTCACCGCGCGTGTTATTTAAATGTTAATATTGAATATCATTCCAAATGATTTCAATAACTGGACGTGACTACCTAAAAGTATGTGAAAAACTAGTTTGCGATTCTCATTTGAATCATACGATTAAGAACCCCTACCATTATGCCCTATAGCAGCTGTCGGCAAAGTGCGGTTCACTCAACTTCAAAATTTCAAGGGAAAAATATATTTTTTGATTGCGACTATTAAAATTTTTCAAAAAAATTTTGACATAGATAATAGATATAGGAACATAAAATTCTATACAAATTTATTATTTGTCAAAAAAAACCATCAATAAAGTCAGTTAAAAATGTATAAATCTGTTGTAAATGTAAGTCTTGTATGTAGGTAAAGTAAGAAACTCGAGTGGCCCATACTCATGCTCACATAGCACATATTTGTCCATGACTCACAAATAGATTTAATCTGAGGCTGATGAAAGTCGCTAAATCTGCTTGTGTAATTGTAATTGATATAAATTATACTGTACTCTCATCATGTTTTCTGTCAATTTTTTTCTAAATTAAAATAATTTTTCAAAAGGATTATTTTTTGAACAGTGATCGATTGACTTTTACTTTGATTTCAATATTTGTTATAAAATTATAAATTAAATTTTTATGTATCATCAGATAAATAGTCATCAGAATTTATCATAGAATCATTCTTAGATTTTGACGTGCTGTATATGTAAAACGTACCTTAAACTTAATATTATTTTGGTAAATTCACGATTTTGCGCATAAGGAAAAAAATTTTCAAAAAGCATCTCTTCTATACAGAGCCACTTCTTGTACATACATACATATGTACAAGTAGTAATTCATTGAAAGTGTAATTCATTGTTATGTGTAAATATATGGGTATGTTATGTACCTGTAATAACGAAAATGCAGTTATTCTGTATTACCACACAATTCAACAATTCAACAACTTATAAACTTAATTAAAAACATTGTAACAAAAATACTTTATATACAAAAGATTGAATTTAATAAAATTTGGCAGTTTTATTCTTGTTTTTTTTTATAGATCAGGACCTTAATATTTATTTTTTTTGAAAATAATATATTTAATTATTTCTAAAATTCGAATTGATCAAAAGTTTAAAAATCGCTGGAGCCTTGAAACCATTTTTCAAATTTTGTAACAGCAAAAAAAAAAAAAGGGCTGGCTTCCTTTATTGCGACATACCATTTCTGAACTCTAAAAAAACAAAATGGTCGTTAAAAGTTACCGTTATCTAAAACCCGTTTTTCCCAAATTTTTGATAGCCTTTTTCTTCTACACCGCACACTGCAGGAGTCTGAAATTTTAGTAGCCCTTAGATATTCATATATAGTTTTCCCAACTCCACCCCCTCTCAAATTACCAGCTTTCGAAATCTGTAAAATTTGAATATTTGGCATCCTTCAATTCCGAAACCATAAGCTTTTTCAAATTTGTATAAACGCTGAGAGCTAACGGTAATATCCATGCCATTAAAAAGCATAATTATTTTTCTTAACTCATACAATTAATCCATAAAATCGAGCATTATGTTAACTCTTCTTCAAATTTATTTTTGCTTTATTTCAAAGCTTGCATAAATCGTTCATCCTAAATATATGCAATCCTAGTAATAGTTTCGTCTATGAATGAAAATAATTTTAATAGGTATACATAGATTGTTTTTAAAAGCAGTATTTTTAATTGTTGAAGGGAAAAGTTTGACCCAACCTTATTTTAATATTAAAATTTACTATTTATAATATTTTTTTTTTTAAAAAACGAATATTTAATTTCTATATTTATTAAATATACAAATATTATAATTTTATGCAATTATGTGTATTGAGTTCTGCTATTCCTTTTAATATAATACTATACTTTATTTATATAATAATACGAGTACTAAGTTTAACTAAATGCAAAACTAACTAAAAATTTATTGAATAAATTAATTGCACGTTATATCCACATATAACTGAATTACGAGTATGTAGTGAATTCGAAGTTAGATTTATATTTAGGTAGACTTCCTAAATTTTTAAACGGTTTTTTATTTTTGTAATAAATTTTTGTTTTTTTCCTGGAAGTTTTTCAAAGAATCAATTTTCATGCTGGAAGTTGATGAAGAATCATCCCCGAAATTATTTGCCATCTTATGCGAAACACCCTGTATAATAAGACTTAGTTTGGTATATATTGATATTATAAATAATAATTTTGAATTAACGCAATATCAAATCAGGCTTTGATAAAAAAAGTTTTAAATTTTTATTAAAAACAAAATTTAAATTAATTATTGATAACAATTTAAAAAAAAAAATATATTGTATTTTTAATATCTTCAATATTACAGCATTCTATTATTATTGCAATTCTTATTTACATAGAAAACACGATTTTGTATCAATTAGATGCACCTGAATTCGAAAATAGAGTAACTATTCGAAATAGAGTTAAAAGCACGGCCGTTATCAACTTTCAAAATCTCAGCTAATCTATTATAGATCACTTTCTCCCTCTCTCCGAAAATACTTATCCCTCTCTCCCAAATTTCTTATCTAATCCATCATATTTAACCCTCAATTTTTTAAATCACATCCACAAACACTGGGCGTTACTTACATCCCGGTTGCCTCCCCCTTTGCCCGCCCCAAACCCGGATATAAAACGAGGAGAGGAAGGAGTTACACCTCGTTAAATAACCTTTGTCCTTCAGTTGGCTCAGTTGATAGTACCATGTAAGGGTTCCTGGATGGGTACACGTAAAAATTATGAAGATGACGGAACAAGAAATCAATGTTACTGGACAGGGAATCGGAACCCCACAACCGGTTTTCCATACTGCAATGGAAAACATGTTGCTAGTTATCGCGGATGTGAAATCACGAAATAATTTCAATAAAGAAGAAATAAATCCCTCAAATCGAAACAACAAGTAAAAAGACTATCAGTTACTCAAATAGGTAATGAAACTCTAGTCACTACTACAAATAGCTCACGTAAAACCACATACGTGTCAAGCGACGTTGTTTCACTTGAGCTATATAGCAAGCGGCAACCAAAAACGAACTAATATTACTATTACTAATAACGAAGTAATATTACTAAAACTTGATTAATGCAAGTTGGCAGAGAATAATATGCATGACGAAATAAATATGCTAGAAAATAGTATTAATTCAGTAAAAGCAAAGATAATACCAGAGTTAAGAATGTTGAATTGGAATGCAAATTGGATTCTGCAACCCAAAAATGAATTAGAGGTAGTATTATTAAACGAATATATTAATATTATTGTTTAATATCTGAATCACACTTAGTTACAAATTCATATATAAGTATAAACGGCTACATCTTTTATTATGCTTGCCATCCAAATGGTAAAGCTGAAGGAGGTTCTGCAATATTAATCAAGAGTCACATAAAACACAATGAAGAACAATATACAGCAAAAAACTATGCACTTCACAACAATTAAGATGCATTCACTTATAGTAAACAATTCAACATATCGGTATACTACAGCTCACCCAAACACAATCTTACAAAAGAAGACTATAATCATCTTATAAAAAACCTTTGTCGCTTTTCTATCCCAGGGGGAGATTTTAATGCAAAACACATAAACTGGGGGTCTAGATTGATCAAGAAAAGGCCACTTTAAATCAGTAAAAGATCATGACTGCAAATTTGTCTCAACAGGTAAACCAACATATTGGCCTACTGATAGTAACAGATTACCAGACTTGCTCGATTTCTTCATACTGGGAGGTTAAGATATAAATTAACGTTTATTGAGGAATGTGAGAATCTAAAGTCCGATCATACAGATATAGTTCTTACCGTTAGCATATCTATAATAGTCGGAGAAGGTCCCTTAGCTTTGACAAATCCTAGAACAAATTTGGGAAGAGTTTAGGGACTCTGGCATAAATAAAATTAGTAACTCATTAAAAAAAATCACTGCAAGATAATAAAAAAAAAACAATGCAACATTTCTGATTAGAAAAAGTGCTAAAGCATTAAGAAATTTCTTTACATAATAAACGCTCCCTTGATAAAAAATATATTCCAAGACAATGGAAAGTTGCTGAAGTTATTATGATTTTGAAACCAGGACAGACACCGAATATTAAAAGTTAATATAGACCAATATTATTGCTTCCATTAATGTTAAAAATATTTCATATATTTTCTTGCTAAGTTAACTCCGTTAATAAAAGAAAGGCATCTGATACCTCACCATCAATTTGGTTTAAGATTAGAACACTCGTATGTAGACCAAGTTTATCGAATCTCTAATATTATAGAAGACACCTTGAAAAATAAAAAAATTATTGCTACAGTATTCCTGGATGTCGCAAGAACTTTTCGCATCAAATACGATGAAGAATATTCCAATTTAAGATCTATTAAGGCTGGAGTTCCTCAGGTTGCTTGGACCTATTTTATATATCCTTTTCACAAGGAATATACAAAGAAACGATAGTTACATTATAGCTACTTATGCAGATGACACTGCGATCCTCTCGAGTAGTAAAAGTGTGGATGAAGCTACAAGGGAGTTTTAAGACACAGTCAACCAAATTAGTCAATGGAATAAGATAAGGAGAATAAAATTAAAAGAAAAGTCAGTTCATATTAATTTTACGTATTAAAATGTAGATCCAAAAAGAATATTTATAAACTCCAATCAAATCCCATACGCTAATACAGGAAAATACTTGGGTATGACGTAAGATATCAAACTAAAATGGAAAGAACATGTAAAAAAGAAAATAGATAATTGTGGAGTAGGCCAGTGGGTCATATTCTTAAAGGTAATAAAAATCCAATTCAGATAATAAAATTGGTAGATAGGTTATATTAACTTAGTTAAAAAAAATCATGAAAAAAAACATCACGGCTGCTATTAATTAAACAGTTAATATAGGTTATTTGTTTTTAATATGTACTTCCAGTTAAAAAAATTGTTTGGGATCTTTTGTTTTGTTAAAAACTTCCAAATTTTTTTCTTTTCCGATTATTCTTTTTTTTTACCAATTATTAAGAAATTCAAAACCTTTTCTTAAAATATCATTATCAAGTAATTGTGAATCTTCTTTTATTTCATTTCTATCCTCCTCATTTTCATCATCACATGACGATGATGATGGTGCTGCTGCTGTCGCTCCTATTGCTGATATTTGTTTTATATTTTCAATTGCTTTAATTGATGATGATAACTGTTCAATATTATTAAAATTACTCGTATTATTATAATCATTTAAATTAATAAAAATTTCACAATCATTTTTATAATTTGCAATAATTGGTGATGACGATGTTGTTGATGATGATGATGATGATGATGATGATGATGTTGGTTCAGTTGTCACTAACTTTGTTGTTCCAGTTCCAGTTGATATAATATTTGATTCTGTATTTATTGATATTTCTAATGGTAGCGTAACATCTTTACTTTTATTATTGAAATTATTATTATAATTACTATTATTACTACTTCTACTATTGTTTATATTGTTATTATTATTTCCTTTATTGCCACCAATAAATCTCCATAATATATTTGTTTTAGTATTACTATCTTTATTATCTGATAAACAATCAATATTATTTTTATCATTATTTTTTAATATACTATCGCTTTTACTATTATTGTTATAAAATCTTTCGTATTTTTTATTATTAATTGAAAATAAATTATTTGATTGTAAATTATTATCATTTAGTATATTTGCATTTTCTGCATTAATTTTGTTATTATTTGACAACTGTAATTGCTTCTGATGTTGCTGTTGTTGATCATTCATGATCTGAATATTTTCTTGATTTATTATACATTTTTTCTTAACACTTTCAGATAATTCCCTATTAACTTTTTGAAATTTTAATATTGTAAAAGCTGATGGCATTTCGTTGTCTGTAAAAAAAAGAGAACAAAAATATCATTTAAAATATAATTTCATCAGTTCAGTTTTCAATATAAAATAGAAATATTAAAAAAGAAAAAATGATATTCTCCTCGATTTCAAAATCATATTAATAATTTATTTAATTGCATAATTCACACCCAGTTAATTGTTATTCTGCGTTACAAAAGATTTCTCTTACAGTAAATATATAACTATAAGAATTTTAATAAATCTGTGAGTTGATAGATAATCGCTATTATGACAAAAATTTAAAACAGAAACAAAGTAATATTTTATCACATTATATGTTACGTTATATGACATATATGACATTAGGAAATTTGTTTTTATTATAGATTAGCTTATTTGTCATGATTTAATTGTATTTGTTTACTAATATTGGGATTATTTATTAACTTCTCCACTATTCCCTGTTGTAGATCATTATTTTTAGAGACTTCTTATTTTTTCTTTTGCTTAGTTCTTGAACACAACAAAAAGTTATCTGTATATAAAATAAGCATTTGATTGCGAAGAAAAAGAAAAATAATTAGAATAAGTATCTATCAACATGTAATAAAATTAATGAACAAATTTACAATTTTCAGCGTTTTCAAAACAATTTTAATTATAGCTAATTAAAAATTACCTTCATTATCATGATTATCATATTTATTTAAATTCGTTTTATCATCATCAAATAATGTTAAATTAATTTGGGATTTTGTTTTTACGCTAAATGGCATTGAATGTTCATCAGGAAATTGACCAAAAACATCATCATTAATTATTTTTAAAGCAGTTTTTTGTTTACAATATGTTGATAAATTTTTTCCATCAAATTCATATATATTTTTTGTAGGTAATTCTTTAAAAAAATTATATAAATTTGATGTTGTAATTGATTTCAGTGTTTGACTTTTTAATGTATAATTATTTAAATTTGGTATTAATGTTATTATATTACTATTATTACTTCCATTGCTAGCAATTGTTATCATTGTGGTTGATGCTGTTGTTGTTTTTGAATGCAATGAATTTACTGTGTTATTTTTACATAATATGGTAGTATTATTAATACCATTATTAGTACCGGATGTACTATTGTTATTATGATTTAATGCTGATGTTTTCTTAATATTATACTGAGGATTATTAATGTATTCATTTTCTTGAACTAATGACAATACTGAATTTGTTGTTGCTGATGTCGATGAAGATGATGATGATGATGACGAAGATGATGATATCGTTGATGATGTAGATAATGTAGATGATGTACAAGTTGATTTTTTTCCTGATAATAATTTATGTTTTTGTTTTTTATTTATCTTTTTTTCATATAATATAGTAATATCTGGTTTTATAAATATATCATTAATTATTTCAATTTGTTCATTATCATTTATTTGATTCCATATATGTTTATATGGTAATGTTCCATCTTTAATATCTAATGATATTTTAATAGCAATTGAGTTTAGATTTGAAAAATATTCATATTTATCAATTGTTGATGAAGATGATGAAATTAGTTTTTTGTTATTGTTGCTATTTAATTTTTTTGTAGTTGTATCAAACTGCTTCAAATAATTATTTATATCTTCATCGTCTCCTCCACCGTTTAATCCATTTAATAAAAACGAGGGTGTATTAAACATTTTTTTGTTTTTTTTTCTTTTAACTTTTCAATATAAAACATAGATATATAATGTTAATGAAGTATAAATATTTAAAATGTTTGATATTAATTTTTAATAAATTTTAAATTGAATGAAGTTTTTACTAAAAAAAATTAAATATTTTCTTAAACTGGTAAAGGTAACGGCTGAAAATGATAAAAAATATAACTAGTGAATATGTAAAATAAATATAAAATGTGTAATATTCAATATTACTCAATAGTTGATAATTTGATCAAATTTATAACATAATACCTGCCAATTATTTTTGTATAAAAACAATGTTTTGCTTCTTTTGTATCCACTCCATTATAACCTCCAAATAATATTAGGTTTTGGCAATATAAAGGGTTGTATTTTCAAAAATCACCTTACTAATTTGTTTACATAAGCTAAATATATAATTTAATCAATTTTTAGTTAATAAAACATTTTCAAAACGGATTAAATTCAGATTTGCAATTTGCTCAACAAAGCCGACAAAAATCCCTATATAAAAATCGAAAACGTCAATAATTGAATAAAAATGTCAATTAAAAAATGTTGGTATAAAGGACACACCCCCTATACAGAAAAATAATATTGTAAATTAAAAAGAAATAAAGTTCATTCAACCACTTAACTATGTATTTGATTGAGTAAACTGTTGTTCAGTCAAGAAAGTTTCTTGGAAAACAGTTATTTCTATCACTTTCGTAAATAGTCGTTTAATTTTTCATCAAAGCATTCATATACGTGTTACTAGGAATAAGGAGAATCTATATGGTCAACCGATTTCCTTGCGGTAATTCTCCAAGAAATCAGGTCAAATTCTAATTTATCGCGGAGTTCTTTTTTGAAATGTCAATCCAATTTGATACCATTTTCATCAAAAATACTGCAATAAAAAATATCCGTTCACCTTAAAAGAGAAAAGCCAATGAACCACTGCGATCAATAGAAGAATTAGTTCAATTTGAAATAGCACATTTTTAAAGTAACGATATCAAAGTGCTTCTCTAATACACATTTTATACCTGCTAATCAAATCAATTAGGTAAAATCAAATGTTCAATCAGAATTTGAATGGAATGTTGAACGAAATTATAAGTTGACATTTCATATCTTGTAACAGTAATGTTAGAGCCATTTAGAACATTATGTTTTTATTGACTTTAGAGTTGCCGTTGATGTCAATAAAATTTTACAGTAAAATTTGATTGAATATGTTTTTATGTAATTTATTCTTTCAAAGCTTATCACGTTTCAAAAGTTTGTACTTTTTCGTAATGGTATTTAAATTTTTTATTTGTTTTCAGAAGGTATATATTAATAGTTATTTATTTCTTCAAAAACCATGCATTCGAATATGTGCCTATAGAATAAAGTCCAGTATACAAATATTATAATATGTGTATACAAAAATAATGTAATCAAATACAATTTCATGTCACGGCTGTGCCTCGCAGGATATAATTTGTTAACCCGACGAAAAAAATAACCCAAACTGGGGAAAAATAGAAAAATTTTTCAAGATTTAATATTTATCTACAAAATTTCAATATTTTAATATTTTCTTATAATAGAAAAGAATTAATTTTTACTTTTTTTCCATACTTTTCCAAAATATTTCAGTTTATCCAACAATAGTTTACAGTTAAAATTGTATTAATATATGAATATGACCATAGTATGATTAAGTGACATGTAAAATATTAGACAATTTAAGTAAAACAATTAATTATCAGAAATATTTAATTACAAAATAAAAACTTTTTCCGAAAAAATTTTGAAAAACGAGAAAAAATTAAAGGGAGTCTTTAATATAGTAAAATGGTTGCATTTTGAAAATTAAAAAAAAAACATCTTTTGTTAATTAAGAATTTGTTATAAAGAATAGATCAGCTTGGTAAAAAATATCAATTCCTTCCAGGCAACATTTTCCATAAAAAAATACAACAAATTTGTAAGAAATATCTCAAAACGGCAACACTATTTCGTGTATAATATTATCTATTTTAATTAAAAAAAAAACATGTTGACATTTTTAACTTGAAAACTAGAACAATGAACTGTCAAATTTTGACAATTTAACACTTTTTTTTTCTTTTTTTTTTGAGTATGTCAGTATGTGTGTTAATTGAAATGCGGGTAATACATTAAATAAAAAAAATGAAATACATTAATAAAAAAAATGTATAATATAAAAAAAATAATAAAAAATACAAAATTGTAAACTTCAAAAAGAATATTTATAAGAACAAGAAAAGTCGGGAAAACAAAAAAAAAAGCAAAAAAAAAATACAATATAACATGGCTGAAAAGTTGCTATTCAAAGAAATGTGAGAAACCCATCAAAAAATTTCTCTGAATGGAAAAAAGATTGAATTTTGAATTAAAAAAGAAAAGAAATTGAATTTTTTTATATTGAAGTTGTTAAAAAAGTGAGTGGAATTTAAAAAAAAAAAAAATATTTAAGGTTTTCAAATTTTTAATTTTTTTTTGTGTTTAACAAAAAATTTTATAAAAAAAAATTATTTTTGTGTTTTCTTTCTTCCAAAAATTTTTCCTGCAGCTGCTGCTCTAAAAACATAAAAAAATGCAAATCTTTTAACAAAAAAAAAATTTATTAAAAAGTGAAAAATTATTTTTTTTTTTGTAACTGTGTATACTTACAATATATGTGTATATATACTGTGTGCAATTCGATATACATATATTGTATGTGTACGTATAGAAGTGTGTATATATGAGTATACATACTTATGAAAAAATATTGAAAAGGTTTTTTACAATTTTGTAATTTTGCTTTAATAAAAACCTTAATTTTCATACATATATGTAAGTATTACAGTTACAGTACAAGAAATTAAAAAAAAAAAAGTGTGGTTAAATTATTTTTAAATTTATGGTACTTAAATTAAGCGCCTACATTAAGGCTCGAAAAATTTATAATTTTTCCAAATTTTTCTTTTTTTTTTTTTGTTTTACATACATATGGTATGCCATTCAGTCCGACGTCTCTGGTTAAAAATTTTTGAAGTTTATTTTGAAAAAAAAAAAAATTTAGAAAGAAACAACAAAAGAAATTGCATTGGAAGCTACAAATTTTTTTGATTTTCAAAAAATTAACAAAGAAAAAATTAAAATTAAAAAATATTGAAAACAAAAAATATAAACATAAAAAAAAAGTAGTGCTTTGGTATAATTAAATTTATGCTAAAACAATTTTTAATAAGTTTTTCAAGTCAAAAATAAGACAATGTTTAATTATTTTTTAATAGGTAAATAAGAAATTTAAAAAAATTCTTATTACTCAGCAGAAGCCAAAAGGGAAAACGAGGAAAAACAACCAATATAATTTATTATTTTTTTTTTTTATAAAATTATTGTTTTTATTGGTGGTGGTTTTTTCATTTTTTTCACAACTCCCTGTGTGTCAATCTACCCATATTTTTTTTTTTTATACATAACGTATGTACAAATATATATTTATATAGATTTTTTTATTTATACATACGGGGTAGGTACCAACCTAATTGTTGCCTAAAAACCTGCTTATATCAATTTCATTTTTTATCAGATTAGGTACACTCATTTCAAAAATTTTATAGGTAAATCTAATATTTTATGATTTAGATAAAGCCGTATATAGATTTTAACGGGTATTCGATGTTTTTAATAAAACTAATGAAATCCCTAAATTAAGAATTTTGGAAAAGATGCTTAGTATATGCTTAGTATATATAAGTGAAAATAAAAAACGTAAAAGATGTTTAGGTAGTTGGTTATGTAGGTATGTAGGTACCCTAACCATACTTTCCTAATATTTAATCAATTTTTTTTTTTAACATTTACGGTACAAGCTAATCAGATTATGTTTATATGTATTTATTTGTTTTTTTTTTTTTCATCAAAAAAGAAAAAAGGAGAAATCAAAATTGAAATAAAAAACAAAATTAAATTATAATAGGTACCGAAGTAGGCAAGTACATACATGGTAGGTACCAACATACAACTAAACTTTAAAAATTAAAGATTCTTACTGTTCCAACACAGTTCTTCTTGCTCTTCTCACTTTTCTTTACCATTTTTGTCTAGTTTTCACTTTTCTTTTTTTTATTCCCGACTAATTCCAATCTAGGAGCCTATTTTATATAAGTATATATACACACATATATTGATATTCATATATAAAGCATATATGAAGGCTTCTCAAAGGTAATAAAATAATTCTTTATTTTAATTTTTCTTTTAAAATAAAAACATTAATTGGAATATTTTTAAAAAAACAAATTATTTTTAAGGTAGGTATCCTACCTTTGTACCTACACTATCCAAGGACAAAAAATTGGTTTGAATTTTAAGTTCCTGTCCTAGTATATAAATAGTTATAATAATATGTGTGTAAGAAAAAAAAGTATCCGTGAGAAGGAGAATAGGGGACTTTTAGTACAAAAAAGAATTTTTTTATTTTGGTAGATACGTTGGTGGGTACCTACTTTTTTATTTTTTCTCTATTCCTTTTTTTTCTTTTGTTTTGTAATATTTTTTTTTTTGCTTTTTGGGTCACTTACACTACTTCAACCCAGAAAACTTTTTCTTTTAAATTCAAATAACAATTATATTGGGAAAATATTGTGATTAAAGCGATATTTTCTTTATAAATAACATTAAGTGGCAGTATTTTTTCTTAATTATCCTAGAAAAGTTCCTCTTTTTTTCTTTTGAAAATGAAATGATTTCTTTTTATTAATTTTAAGTTCCCCCTACTAATTTTTCCGGGGCTATTTTCTTCAGCAACTGGACAAAAAAAAAAATAAAATATTTATACGCAGCTAGGTATGTGAGGTTAAAATTAGCGAAAATTAGCGAAAATCCGAAACTGAGGTACGGGTTGATTTGAAAGGCCTTAATTCAACAGCTTTAACATTTTTAATTATAAATTTTAATTATAAATTATTTATAAATAAAATATATTACATTCCCGACCAACGTTTATAAAAAATTTACAAATTGCTTTTGCAACTCTTGTAATGTTCTACAATATTGGAAATGTATCAATGACACTTAATTCATTAATTAATTAGTAATTTAAGTAACAAAATATAAATTTTAATTTCTTATTTTTTTCTCTTCTTTTTTTTCCCCATTTTTAGGTATTTTATATATTGACAATTTATTGAAGACATAGTTGGGGGTTGTGTGTGTATTGCAAAATTGGCGGAAATTGAATTGCCAAGAAAATATTTTTTTTGTTTTCCTTTTTTTTTAAAAAAAAAAAAAAAAGAAAGATGTACTAATGCAAAATACTTTTACACATTAAATAATGTAAGTTTAACTTTTTTGTCTTATATATTTTTTTACATACATTTATCAATAGCTTTTGACATCACAAATTAAATTTGGTTCATTAAACCTTCGTTGTAATCAATGAATCAGTCAAACAATTTTATATGTTACATTTAATTACACTCATTGTCTATTATTGAATACAAAACCATGCCAATCGTGAAATTTTTACATTTTTTATTTAAAATATAATTTCAATAAATATAAAAACTGTAATTATATTAACTCAATAGAAGTTTCTTCATGCAACTGCAGAACAAATGGATGACGTAATCAAAGAAACAAGTTGAAGGCAGAAAAAAAATCTCCCCGAAAAATTAAAAAAAACATCTCTCCGAACTGGACTCGAACCGGTGATCTAGCGCTTTCAATAATGTTACTAGTGTAATAGACATATGAAATATAATGCATAACCTACAGTGTTTCAAATAGCCGATTGAATGTGGCATCTCAATGTGAAGAACAATTCGTCGGCTATTTCTTCATACCTCTGTAGAGCGTCCGCCTAGAAAACGGTAGGTCACTGGTTCGAGTCCAATTCGGGGGGAAGATTTTTAATTTTTCGGTCTTTAATCCGTTTCTTTGATTACGTTATCCATCTGTTTTGCAGTTGTATGAAGAAATTTCCATTGCGTTAATATTATTAGTGTAATAGGCGCAAGGCTTATTAATTAAACAACTGCACGTTGTATTAGTAATTCAGTATTGTAATGATCCTTGGCAAATATGAATTGCAATAATATTGTATTCCTATACACAATTCAGCCTGTTTTGAACCCTAAAACCCTACAAAGCTCTAAATTCCTGAATTATATAGTAATACCCGTATGTTTCTATTACCCTTAAATGCCTGTGTAATTATGTTGCTTTTGTTTATATCACAACAAATAATACACTCTACCCTTCCACTTTTATTCTTCTATTTTACCACAATTAAAAATTCCCCACCAGAAAAATCCGCAATTTCTGTCGCCTGGTTCTCCAACTCATTAAGAGAAATCACTAGTATAGTGCCTGATTTCAGAAATGCAGTAATAAGGTTTTAATATCCCAATTCAGCAATTAAAATTCATAAGCAGAATTGTGTTTTATTACAATATTATTGCAATTTTGAAATAAGTAATTTTTCTAAGGCAAGATGTAGGAAGTTCTAATATTTAATTTTGGAATTTAACTTCGGTTTTTTTTTTTTTTGAAGTTTTAATTTATATATTTGGTTTATTACGTATACATGTAGGAAATTTGATCATAAAAAAATTATTTGAAATTTGAAAAAAAGCAATATGTGTATAAAAAATAAATCACTGTTAAATATGTGTATAAAAAATAAATCACTGTTTAGAGAGCTAATGTGATAAGGGTTACCGTGACTTCACAATATTGCAGTATAATATTGGTATTGATACACAATTCATAATATGAATTGTAATTGCTGAATTCTGTATCAATACTAGTATAACAGAAGTTTTGAAATAATTGCTATCAATAAATTTATTATTATAATTAATTTTAAAATTTTAAAAACATTATATCACTCATATCAAAATAACAAAGATTAATTGAAAGCAAATTAATAATAAATTATGCATTTATAGCGTAGTTATTCTGACGTTTTTTGATAAATTCTTATTAAATTGACATATTTACGTGCATAATGGTAATTTTATGCTATAAAATATAAGTTTGCTCAACAATAAAGCTTTTTCTTTTTGTTTTTTTTTTCCGCAGACAGAATTGTATAATTTCACTTTTCACTGAAATATATTTTATTGCAATTTTTTTGTTGGGGTACCGCTGCTGCATGTATACGTAGTATTAAATTATTTTAACCCATTTGTACCCATGTGCTATAAGTTTCAATTTTTATAAAATAAATAATGATTTATATTTTCTTAATTTGAAATATAGATTAAAATATACAAAAAATTGGAAAAAAGAGTGGTACTTAAATGGGTACAATATGGGAATTACAAAAATTCACCAATCACACATTCAATTATATTTTTAGTGCGTACTAATTTGATTAATAAATTTTTCAATGTTTTTATTTTTTACTAAATCAAAAGAATTTAAAAACAAAAAAATTTTGATTTTTAGAAATCAATTTACAAAAATATTTGTTAAAATTATAAAGTCAAATAATTAAAATTAAAAAAAAATAAAAACATGCAAAACTTTCTAAAACAAACAAACATAATTTTTAAAATAATTTGTATATAAAATATTATAATTTATACCATATATATATATATATATATATCAAAATCATTTCTAATGGTAATCTTTACTAACTGAAATGAGTCATAGTGCTAATAATAAAAAGAATTATAATTATAATAGTAAAGAATACAAAAAACAAATTTTAAATGATCAAAAAGAACATAATAATACGAGTATAACTATAAGTAAATATAATAGTTGTTCACAAAAAAAAACACGAAATTTTGATAATACTATAAAGGATAATACTAGTTTAAGTAGCAATCATAGCTGTAATTGTGTTAACGGTAAGTTTTTAATTGTAAATCTTAAAACTTGACACATATAAAAATAATATGTACATATGTATATATATATTATATATATTATATATATATATATATAAAAGAGAAAACATTTTTATAAGATATTTTCATAAACACAATATAATATGTAAAACATTATTTATTAAAAATTTCATCTCGGGTGAGTAAAGAAAGTGAGTGAAATATGTCCGTCACATTTTATTGCAAATAAAACATAAAATGAGCAGTGTTACATGATCCAAGTTGCAAACCAAAATTATTGACATTTGAACTTTTATTAGACGTGACTTGCTGTTTGTTGATTATATTTGCAAAGCAGCAGCAAGACTGTTTTTCATAACATTGCTTGTGAATGCTTTTTTATGGATGTCACGGTGTATTTTTAATAGACTTTTCAAAAATTTTATTACATCTCTTGTAGTTTAGCCATAAAATACATTTTAGTTGCGAAAAATTTATCTTGAAAATTTCTTTTCGAACAAAAGTTTGCCCTATCTCGTGCTTTTCGCCAAATTTTATGTACCCATTCAATTTTTTAAAATTTTAATTTTTTGACAGCTTACTTTGCCGGTTGAAATCAGTAAAAAATAGTTTTTTTTTTTTTTTTTTAAATTGATGGCATTGTTGTGTTTATGAAAACATAATTTTCTTTTCAAATGTAAAGGATTATTTATTTATTTATTTATTTATTTTTACATAAATATCATAAATCGAGTTTTTTTATCACTAAATTTAGCATTATTTTTATGAAAACCCATATGATTTTTTAAGCATAACTTTTTTAGTTTCCATTTACTTTGCTAGCTACTTTAGACAGATTTAGATTTGAAATAATTTTATAATTAAATACATTTTATTATTATTAAAAATTCAATTTATATTTCATAAATAATAAAATCTTTCAATTATATAAAATTCTTTTCGTTTGTCTTTTTTTTTAAATTTTATTAAATGTGACATGAAGGTGACATATAGGTTAATTATTATATTTTACAAGAAGCAGCCTTTTTCCAAATATATACCGATATTCGTACAGATTTCGAAATTTCAATTCAAAAAGCAAGTTGAAAAAAACATTTATAATATCTTTTCTTTTAAAAACTATATAATTTCAATTGGGTGGAATTTCACACCACTCAATTACTAATTCAAGAAATAATTACATTTAATTATTGTGAACTTTCAATAAAATCAATACAACGTTTTTTGAATAATATGTTTTTGCTTTCTCTTTCGATGTGCAGAGGGAAACATTTTTGCCAAAATTTTGCGAACTCTTTGTTTATAAAAGAATTCATTTTTCCAGCTTTTCTCAATCTATCAAGACGAACTCGAACATGAGCTTTCCGTAAATTATATGATTGAACTTCGCTTGTAAATCGTAATCTCTTTTGCAAATATTCAGATGCAATCCTATTTTTTATATTAAAGATTAATTTCAGCACATTAAGTTCTCATTTTTGCTGAACACTTAACTTGTAACTTGAATGTTACAAACATTACATAACATTCAAGTATACCTGCTTACTTGTAGTACAACTCTCTTTCCTTTGTTTTGAGGCTTCTGTAACTTGTAAATATTTGTACTGAGATGTAATATTGTCGAACAGTATTCAAAGTGTAGTATTATCATAGTGTTGTACACGTTGATAGCACTCCGAAAACTTAATCTGCAAATGATATTCTTAGCACTTTTCCAAAAAAAAATTGAAAAAAAGTGCTTATTAGTCTCTTTCTGTCCATCCGCCCGTGGACATGTTTACAAAACTTCTACACCTTTGAAGATAGATAGCTGAAATTAAAAATGAACATATTTCTTTACCAGAAACTTATTTCCATAGAAGAAAATTTTTACATATCTCTCCCCCTCTAAAGGCTATACCCTCCTAAAACCCTAAAAATGCCATTTTTCAACTATTTATTGCTGTGAAACCATAAGCATTTTTCAAATTTTGCAATCGCAGATATATCCCGGAAAGTTTTCTCTGTCGCGGCATGCCATATAAAACAAAATGGCTGCCAAAATTCATCGTTATCTAAAATCCATTTTTTTCCAAATTTTTGGTGTCGCTTTTCTTTGAAGAAAAGCACTTGCTATATATATGAAAATAAACTCTGCTTATATATATAACGTAGGTATGCTGGGACAAAATGGGTTATACTTAATACAAAAGGCCAAAATTAAAAAAAAAATTTAAAAGCTTTATATCTAGGCAAAATAGGGAAAGGGACAATTTAATGAAAAGTTTCAAATTTTAAGAGTTCAATTTTTGAAATCCTCCTCCTTCCTATAGAAAACTGACAGATACAAACGCCTTTATACGAGTATATTTCATGTATATTTATAATAATGCATGCTTGTTTTCTTATATTATTATTTAAAAATAAAATTTGCACTTTTGAACGCATATAATATTTATTATAAATTTTAAATTCCGACGACGTTTATGGCGTGTGCAGTCCTTAACCGCTTGAAATTAATTGCTTGCCGAACGCCGAATTCTTAAACTGAATAAAATCACCTTTTATTATTTTTTTTGTTATAATCTTTGTTATTTTTGTAATGTATTTTTTGTATTGCAGTTTTGTTTATTCTACATAAATTATTAATCTCTTATCACATTAGCGCAAAATTATTAATTAGGGTATGCCTAAAACTGTGTTTTATATATGTGTGTATACTTATATATTTAGCTCCTATATATATTTGTGTGCATCATTCCTAAACACAAGTATGTAATTATGTATATTTAATTAATGATACTAGGAATTTTTTTTTGTCCAATTTTTGTTTAATTCAATAAAAATCACGTGTTTTCATATTAAGTATTAAAAACGTAAACAAAAAAAATTTAAGTGAATTTATTTGAAATTTAAATTTTTGTTTCTATTTTAAGTATTTTAGTTCTTTTTCTTTTTTAATTGAAAAAAAAGAAACACAGTTCATATCATGCCAAAAAAAAAAAACTTTTTATTTAATTTATTTTTACAGAAGAATTTAAATCTACTAAAAAATCGATAAATAAGTCACCATCGTCGTCTACATCACCATCACTATTTAATTTGTCTGAACCATCTGAACCGTGCCGATTTTCACCACCTTCGATAAATCAAAATGTTAAATTAAATTGTACTGAAACAATTTGTATCGATTGTAGTAGTAGTAAATGTCATGTTATTGAATTAAATGGTGATATTTTATTTAAAAACTTTGAAAAATCAACTAAAGATATCAATTTACCAACACACGATGATGAATTATTTAAAACAAGCACAAAAAATAGTGATCAATTAGTATCTTATGATAATTTACAAGTAAATCAACCAGAATTAAAAGTAGAACATCACAAATATCATCATCAGAAACAATCGAATATAAAACAAGAAATACAAGATAAATTAGATGAAGAAAAAAATGAAGATGAAAAATTGATTTTTAATATAAATAAATCGAATTCATTTTTTATTATTGATGAATGTAGTAGTAGCAGTATTAATAATATTAACGATTATAAATTAAAAGAATCATTATTAACACAAACAACAACAGCAGAAGCGAAAACAGTAATAGCAAGAACAAATAATTCAGTAACAAAAACAACAGAAACAATTATAAAACCAATTATAAATAATAAAATAAAAACAATAAAAACGACGACAACGTATAAAGAAAAAGATACTTCATCAACATCAATAGCATCTTCTTCATCATCATCATCAATCAAAATAACATCACCATCAAAATTAACATCAACAACATCAAGTTCATCATCATCGTCATCATCATCATCAATATTTATTGATTCGGGTATTAATGATGATCAACAGCAAAATAATAAAACATGTAAACAATCATATAAAAATTTATTTAGTTTCAATATTTTAAGTGGTATATGTGGTAAACGTTCATCATTTGTTAGTTTACGTAAATATCATAGTGATTCATCGGCAACAGTTGTTACATCATCAACAACATCATTATTATATAATAATAATAATAATAATAATAATAACAATAACAACAGTAACAATAACAATAATAACAATAACTTTAATAATACTGATGTTAATTCAATAACAACATTATCAACAATTACAACAACAACAACAACAACATCAACAACATCATTAATAACATCAATATCATCAGAACCAGTAATTGTTAAATCAAGCATAACAAAGCCTTCACCAATAGCGGCTATTATAACAAATGATAAAACTGGTAATATTATAAATTTAACAAAATTTCAACAACAACATCAACGTAATTTAAAAAATAATTCAAACAATAATATTAATGATAATAATAAATCAATATATTTTGATTTATTTAATAATGATAAATTATCAACATCATCAATATTATCAGCAGCTGTGTCATTAACATCATTATCAACAACATCTGATGAAAATGTTATTGGAAAATCACTAACAGATTATAAAAATGTTAATATAAAACAACCAGTTTTCATTGAATCTGAATCATTATTATCATCTAATTCAAAAAAATATAATAATTGTATACCATCAACAAGAAATCAATCGTCATCATTAACATCATTTACAAAAAATAAATATAATAATATTATTATTAATGATAATTACAATGATAATGATATTTTAGAAATTGATGATAAGGAAATAAAAACTATTCTACCAATATCAATTGCACTAAATAATTATATAAAAGAGCAGAAAATAGAAGAAAGAAAATTAAAACAACAGGAACAGGATAAGGAACGGAAGCCGGAAAAGGAAAAAGAAAAGGAACAAAGAAAACAAAACGATGACAATAATTTCAACAGAAAAATTAATACAAATGGTAAAAATAAAGAAATTGATTTAATTGATTACTATTATTGTTCAAAACATCAAACAATATTAGGTACTAGTAATAGTGGTAGTTGTGATAGTAATAATACTTATATTAAAAGTGATAGATCTCATGATTCTAATAATATAATTAAATTAAACTATTGTAGTGAAGATACTTATAATACAAAAGAATTTATTAATAATATAAAAAAGAATGACAATATTCAAGATTTAATATTAGAAGATAAAAAAGAGGATGATAATTTAACTGATAATGAATTTAAAATTTGTTATTCTAAAACAAATCCCTCAAAAAATTTAGCAGTAGCAAACAATTATAATAATAATCAAAACAAAAATAATAATAATAATGACATTAATAATGAAAATCCAAAAAATATTCATGAAGCAAATATTATAAATAATAAACCACTATCAATTAAATCAGAAATATCTTTAATAGATAATACCAATGCAGATGATGATATTAAAGAATTAAAAATTATACCAAATTTATTTAATAGTAATAATAAAATATCAAAAACAACAACAAATAAAATTAAAATTGATGATAACAATGATTTTCAACAAAAGTTAAAAAATACAAAAACAAAATTACGTAAAACTCAATCAAATCGCGAAAAATCATTTTCAAACTATTTATCAAAATTACAAACACGTTCAACATTATCATTATCATCAATTTCTTGTAATGAATTAAATCAAGAAAATTTGATATTTAATAATTTACAAACATCATTGAATTTCTTATCATCAACATCATTAAATCAATTAAGAGACGATAATAATATAATATTAAACGATATTGATAAATTACGAAAAACCGCTGCGACAACATCAACAATAATAACAGGAACTACTGTATCATCAACAGGATTAATCGCAACAACAACAACATCAATTGCAAATTCAACAACTGTACAAAAAAAATATAATTTACTTCACTCTCATTCATCTACATCATCATCTTCAACATCATTACATCATCATCATCATCATCATCACCACCATCATCATCACCACTCTCATTCTCAACAACATCAACATCATCAACAATTACATAATCAACAATCATCAACAAATCATATTCATAATCAGCAACAACAATATTCACCAACGAAAAATAGAAAAATTTATTTAGATAATTATCCATTATCAAAAACAGATTGTGATTTTATTGATTGTAATAATTGTAATATTATTAATGAAAATATAAATGATAATGATTTTGATGATTATGATGATTATATATTAGATGATAATAATTATGACTCCGAAGATGACAAAGATTCTGAAGATTACGATGAATTATTAGGCGCTGTTGGTGGTACATCAATTAAAAAAATACAATCTCAATTATCATTAGATGATAGCAATATACAAAAATTTCAAAATCAACAACAAGAACAACAATATAATAATATTAAATCTAATAAATTATCCTTATCATCATCATTATTAACGAAAAATAATAAAATTAAAGATGAATTAAAAACTGAGATTGATCTTGATACATTTTTTAATTCAGCTATAACTGATTTTAATTCATTATCAAATTATAATAGTAATAGCAATTTAAATAGTAAAAATGATGATGACTTTATTGGCGATAATAATGATTTTGAAGCAATATTTTTGCCATCAATACAAATAATTGCTTTAAAAGCAAAACAACAGCAACAACAGAAACAACATAAAAAAAATAAAAATATTATATGTAATAGTTATAGTAAAAATGATAATAAAAAAAATATTGATTTATTAAAAATACGTTCAATATCAAGTCAATCATTGAATTTAAAAAATGATTTATATGTAAATTTAATTAAAACAAATTATAATAATGAAAATATTATTAAAAATAAAATTGAAAATTCAGATATAGATGGAAATGAATATAATAGTGAAATAAATGAATTAAATATTGATTGCAAAACGGGTAAAAAAATTGAACAAAAATTAAAAAATTCTAAATCACAACAACAACAAATATCACGCTCATTATCAGATAGAAGTATTGTATGTAAAAATAATTATGATAATAGTTTTGTTGATAATTCAATAATAATAAATTCAAATTTATGTAAACGTAGTAAAAATTTTCAAATAAATAAAGACAAAGACGAAGATAATAATATAATTAATTATAATAAGAAAATCTCCCCAATATTATCTACAGCAACAACATCATCATCAACAAAAACATTTGATATTTTATCGTTATCATCACCAACAGCAACTACAACAACCATTTCAAATTTTAATAAAAACGAACTGAATATTAATGATAAATCAATTAATAATCAATATTTATTATTTAATAATGATAGTGATAATAATGATATAAAATGTAATAAAAAATCTATACCAATTAAATTAAATTATAAATCAGATGTATTAAATAAATATTATGAAAATGATGATAATAATATTAAAAAAAAATTATCATCAACAGTAAAAAATAATATTAAATATACTCAACAGCAACAAGTAGATATTAATAAATTAAATAAAAAATTAAAATATAATAAGAATAATTCTAGAGAAGAATTATTAAATGAAATTTTATATGATAACAATCGTTTAATTAATTTAGCGTATAATAATAAAAAAAAATTATCTGAAACAAATTTATTATTATTATTAGATGATGATGATGACAATAATGATAAAATATTATATTCAAATAATTTTAATTCAATACCAATTACATCAACAACAATAACATCCATTGCTAAAACAACAACAACATCACCAACAATTATATCATCAGCACTTTCTACATCAAATATATTAATATCAAATAATGATAAATCATTAAACAAAACAAATTCATTATCATTAAATAATAAAAATGATATTAAGAAATTCAAAAATTTAAAAAGATTTTCGACAAGTGATTTATCTTTAGTTAATAATATATATAATGAAGATTATTATTATATTGAAAATAATAATAGTTCTATTAATAATACAAATAATATTTTCAATAATAAAACAGATAATACAACAATTTTACAACAAAAAAAATCAATTATTAATAGAGACAAAATTGATGATTATACAAAAACTACTACAACAACAACCACAACATCTAAAACAATATTTACAACATCATCTTCAGCAACAGCATCAACAACAACAACAAATATTGAAAAAGGAAAACAACCAATTACAGCAGATAAAATTATTGATAAATATAATAAACAAATTGATGTTCCATTATCATCACCACCATCAACATTGTTATCATCGTCTTTATCAGTATTATTGCGACCATCATCATCAAATTTAATATCTGCGACATCATTAAATGAAATATCAAATTTATCATCATCTACATCGTCAATTTCATCATCAATAAAAAATAATTCAATTAATGGTAATTACGTACCATTAACAAAAACTTTATTGTTTTCGTCAAATACTAAAATTGATAATAATGAAAATAATCAGCAACAACAGGAACAACAACATGTAAATTATCAACAAAAACAATTAATATATCAACAAAAACAAAACAATATATTATATAAAAATAATAAATTACCCATATGTAATATTAAATCATTTAGTTTAGATAATGATATTGAAAGAAAATGTAATAAATTATGTAATTATAATAATGAAATAATTGATGATAACGAAGATATTATTAAAAATTGGATTATAACAACAGAAACAACAACTGCAACAACAGCTGCAATAACAACAACTACTACTACATCAAATAATATATACTTACCATTATTAAAAAATAATAATAAAATATTATCAAATTATAATATAAGTAATAAGAAATTTAAATCATTAACTAAAACAAAATCGTTATCATATGATAAAGAAGAATATTGTAACTACAATAGCAATAAAAATGAATTAATTAAGAATGATATTAATATAGAATCAATTCGTAATAAAGATTCAATATATGATAATAAATTAAATAAAATTAATTATGATGGTGATAATTTAAAAAATTATATACCAAAATTATTATACAATAGCAATAATGAAATAAATATAGAAAAATTACAACAACAAGAAAATCAATTGAAAAATCAACAATTATACATGCAAGATCATCATAACCATCATCATCATTATAATAGTAATAAGGATCAACAACAACAACAAGATCAACAACAACAAAAAATAAATAGTAATAATAATAAATTAGAAGAAATTAATTATAATTTAAATATTTTACATAATAAGTATAATAATATAGATGCAAGTGATAAAAAATTGTTTAATTTAGATAATATTAATAATAAAACAATTAAAATAACTAATAATAGTAATAATAATAATAATATTAGCGGTAATAATAAAAATAATAAAAAAAATTCACAAGACATTGGTTGTACTGATACTAATAATAAAATATTAGAAACACAATTGACAACAGCAACAACAACAATTACAAATACTAATAATTGTAACACAGTTAATAATTCGAAGATTATTACTACTGCTACCACTGCTACATCATCTACAACATCTTTATTAATAAATCAACAACAACCACAACAAGAAAATCAAAAACAAATTAAACAACTGCCAAAAACTTTAGAATTAGATTATATAAAATTATTAAATAATTCATCAACATTATCAAATAAAAATATTAGTTATAATAATTTAAATAATTATCAATTAATCGAAAAAATGGTTGGTAGTACAACGACCACAAATCATAATTTAAATGATCATCAGCAACATCAGCAACGTCTCCAACAAAATTTACAACCACAACAACAACAATCACAGTCTCATCATCATCATTCCCATTCACATCATCATCATGACCATACAATGACTAATAATAGTAGTAGCAGTAATAGCAGTGGAGGTGGTAATTCTACAACAATTGGTGGTAGTGGTGGTGGTGGTGCTAGTATAGGAATTGGTAATACCAGTATTTGTTCTTCTTCTATTATTAATCAGCAACAACAACCACAATCACAACAGCAACAACATTATACTCAACATCAAACTAGTACTGGACAAAATTTTAATTCTTCACAATTAGGTACATATGTATATATATGTATATATATGTATAATTTATATAAGCTATATAATATCATATTTGCCATGTTGTAGATTATATAGTGCAGATTAAATGCTTTCTGCTTCTCAATTTTTAAAATTTCAATTAAAATTTCGTTGCGTCATATTAACAGACCTTTCTTTTTTGATGATGATTATATAGTAACTATCTTATGATTGACATAATACTAACTATTATGTCTCACAACTTTATTGAACCCAATTGCTGTAGGCTCTGAATTCAAATACAAAAATAATCAAAAATTTTACATATAAATTATTTACATATTAGTTAATTAATTTTTTGTTATGTAATCGAAGCGGATTCTAATTTTGTAGCTAAGTTAGCAAAATACCATTATTTTTTCAATGGAATCAAATGTATTGCATACTAAGGTAAAAAGTTAAAGAAAATTAAATGCTAAAACAGAACTTTGAACCCTAAACCCAATTCGATTTATTTATCAACCAAAATTTTATTATGAAGTAAATTAAATTGATGTTAAATCTGCATTTCTATATTATGCTAGAATTCTAAGCGTATGTCTATTCGCTTAGGATTCTAGCATAATATTTTTGTGTTCATTATTATTAGTTTAAAAATTAAGTCAAATCCGCCATAAATCAAAGATATGAAACGTTATGAACTTTAAGTAAGAAGAAAGTTACTCCTCCGTCCTCCCGCCACAGGGAAATGTTTTGAAAACTAACCACCAAAAAGCATTAACCGTTTATTTAAAATAAAAAACCATTCTTTAGAAAAATTAATCGGTAGGGTTTTTCAAACGTTAAGTCTTTTTTTTTGTGCGCGAAAGTTGTCCTAACAGTACCTTATGCCTCTAGTCTTGCCCCTTAATTGAAACCATTTTTATTTTCAAAAAACTTAAAAAACAAAATTACTTTGACAGTAATTTTATCAGCTTAAGTGTTATATGTATATTTAGTGTAATAAAAGTGAAATTAATTGTTTTGGCAAATTTTATTAAAAAAATTTTTTTTCTATTTTTTTTTGTGTTTATAGTTACAATGCCTGGAAATAGTAATGTATCAAATACAACAAATGGAACTTCAATGTCAGCAAATAATCAGCAATTACAGCAGCCTCAACAACAACAAAAACATTTATCAAATTCGATGATATTAACTAATACATCATCAACAAATTTAACAACATCTATAGTTAATTCGTCTTCTCTAGCTAATTCATCTAGTACATCGGCTGTTGTAACAACGTCATCTACATCATCTTTAAATGCTTGTGATACTTTACAACAACAACAGCAACAACAGCAATCAAAAAGTTTAGTACGTGTCGATAACACAAATTATTCCTTTCATGAACAAATTATAATGTCCGGTCAACAAAAAAGTGCATTACAAGAAAAACCAAAACCATTAGTTGTATCACCACAACAAGTGATGGTATTATATTTACATAAATTAACACCATATGAAAGAAATGAAATTTTAACGTATCCACGTATATATTTTATTGGTGCAAATGCTAAAAAACGTCCGGGTATATTTGGACCAAATAATTCGGATTATGATAATGAACAAGGTTCATATATACATATACCACATGATCATGTTGCTTACCGTTACGAAGTATTAAAAATAATTGGTAAAGGTAGTTTTGGTCAAGTTGTTAAAGCATATGATCATAAAACACATGAACATGTAGCATTAAAAATGGTTAGAAATGAAAAAAGATTTCATAGACAAGCACAAGAAGAAATTCGTATATTACATCATTTAAGAAAACAAGATAAATATAATACAATGAATATAATTCATATGTATGATTATTTTACATTTCGTAACCATATGTGTATAACATTTGAATTATTAAATATTAATTTATATGAATTAATAAAAAAAAATGGTTTTAATGGTTTTAGTTTACAATTGGTTAGAAAATTTGCTCATTCTTTATTACAATGTTTGGATGCGTTATATAAAAATAAAATAATTCATTGTGATATGAAACCTGAAAATGTTTTATTAAAACAACAAGGAAGATCTGGAATAAAAGTAAATATATTTTTTTATAATATTCAACAATTTTATTTTTAATTTGTTTTAGGTCATTGATTTTGGTTCATCTTGTTATGAGAATCAGCGTGTGTATACGTATATTCAGTCAAGATTTTATCGTGCACCTGAAGTTATACTTGGCGCAAAATATGGTATGCCAATAGATATGTGGTCATTAGGTTGCATATTAGCTGAATTATTATCTGGTCATGCATTATTCCCTGGTGAGGACGAAGCTGATCAGTTAGCATGTATTATAGAAGTATTAGGAATGCCACCAAAAAATTTATTATCCAACTCAAAGAGAGCAAAAAATTTCTTTAATGCAAAGGGTTATCCACGTTATTGTATAGCAACAACTTTAGATGACGGTAAAGTAATTTTAAGTGGTGGTCAATCAAGACGTGGTAAACCAAGGGGCCCTCCTGGTTCAAAAAACATTATAAAAGCATTAGACGGATGTAAAGATCCATTATTTTTAAATTTTATGATTAGCTGTTTAGAGTGGGATCCAGAAAAGCGAATGACACCGTGTGCTGCTTTAAAACATCCATGGTTAAGGAGAAGATTACCAAGGCCACCAAATGGAGAGCAGTCAACATCATCAACAACACCAGGCTCCGGGGGCGGCGGTGGTACAAACGGTGGTGATGGAAGTAGTGGTTGCGGTGGGGCTGGTGGCGGAGGTGGAAGTAATAGCGGTGGTTGTGATGTTAGTAATATTGGATGTGGTAGTAGTAGTGGAACAGCTGCAATTGGTGGTTCGACTAGTAATATAAAAAATAGTAATAGTAGTACAGCAGTTATAAAAAATAGTCATACCATATTAGAAAATAATGGTGCTACAGACGTGACAATAGTTGGCAGTATTTCCAATAATATATCAAATACTGGTAATAATAAAGATTCTCTATTTTTCTATTTGTTTTGCTAATCTTTTTATATTGCATATCAATTATAATGAAACAAAAAATTATTGTTTGCTTTTGTTTTGTGTAAAAATAGATACGTTTGATCGTTGGGCAACTGGAAAAACATCACGGTCATCAAGAAGTAGCTCATCAAAAACAAATTGTAATTCAGTGAACGCACAACAACAGCATATATTAGTAAATGGTGGAGGAAATAGTTATATTCAACAAACGGCTAGTGGGGCAAATTCAGATAGCACGTGTGGTAGTTCATTGTCTAGTAATTTAATTGGTAGCTTAAATCATCATCACCAAACTCCAACTTCAAATAATAAACACCCGCAAATTCATGTAGCTTCAATGTCAAATGGTGTACATTGTATTAGCAGTCAATCATCATCTGCTGGTTCAGCATCTCGTCATCATCATCATCATCATCATTTTCATCATCACCATCACCATCATCATTCAGCTACACAACAACAGCAACAACATCAGCAACAACAACAGCAACAACAACAACAGCAACAAACGGGTATAACTATTGCTTTACCATCTTCATTATCAGCTTCATCATCTCTATTATCATCACCATCATTATCATCTATTCCAAATGTTTCGACAATTATAACGACAACATCAACAACATCCGCACTATCATCGTCTATTGTGAATTCAACATCAACAATAATAAATAATTCAATTATAACAATACCATTACATTTAGCAAATTACAGTAATAATATTAGCAGTCATAATCACCATCATTGTGGTAGTATAACAGATTCACATTGCAATCAAATAATAACAGCTACATCAACATCGACCACAACATCATCAACAGTAGTAACAACAACAAATAATTGTAATTGTAGTAATAATTTACTATTACATCATAATAATACATTATCATCTACATCATTAAATACTGCACCAATAATAGCATTTAACTCAAATAATATTAATAATAGTAGTAATATTTCAAAATTGATTTCAACAACAATTGCATCAACTATAATAACACCATTAACAATGTCAACAATTACAACAGCAGTAGTAGCAGCACCAACAACATCATCAATAACATCTATAACAAAAAATTTACATAATAATCAAATTTCATCAATTAAAAACCAAACATTAGATTCAACATCATTACAAAGTTTTTTACATCATCATCATCAATTGTTGACGGATAATAATACATCATCATCATTAAATAAATATAGTAATCATCATCATCAACAACAATATAACAGTCATCAAGCAGGTAATTTACAATGTAACAATATCAAAAATTCTACTCTGGTACATTGTGAATAACTCCATAATAAAAAGTATAATAATATATAGAATATTATTATAATAAAGAGAAAAAAATAAAATTAAATTTAATATCCGCATAATAAAACTTTTAAATCAACAATTCAATATAAAGTTTAAGAAAAATCATTATATTTCAAGTTACTTGTTTATATCCTGAACCTTCGTGGGAAGTATAAAAAGTTTGGACATGTTCGTCTCTCCTGTCCGTCCGTCTGCCCACTCGTGCGTCCGTCCGTCTGTCCGCCCGTCCGTCCGATCGCATGATAACTCAAAAACGAATAATGCAATTGACACTTTATCAGACGTTATCAGACTTTAATTTTCATGCAAAATTGACTAAATTTTGCGTAGAGTAAATTAATTAATGTTTTTAAAATCATTTGACAACGAATATATATTTATAAATAAATAGTACTACTACACTTAATATTTATTCAAGCTTTTCTAAAATTATTTATGTATTTTTTATGCAATATTTTAAACTAAAATGTATATATTCACAATCCCTGACTTTAATATTTCAGTAATATTGTGCTAATACAGATACAATAATATTTTTTAAGTTGAATCGTTTATTTAAACAGTATTACAGTAACTTGAAAGTAAGAGATAGTAGACACAACAAATCACCATTTAATTATTATTTAGATTTACCACTTATCATTTTTTTTTATTTTTTTTTTTTCATATTCAAGCTCCAACATAGTTAATCAAAATTTAAAAAGTTGAAACTTTTTTTAATTAAAATATTAATAACTAAATTAACTCAACAACAATAAAACACGAACGGCAAATATAATAACAAGCTCCAAAAAAAAATCCATTACAGCTGAATAAAAATTACATCATTCACATCATCAGTAACTCAGTACATCATTAGGAAACTAAATTATACAATAACACAATTTTTTTTATTAAATATAAAAAATACAAATTATCTACACGTCAAATGCTTTAGCAAAGAGATATTTACATAGTCGATGTCTTTTAACTTTACAATAGCAATTAAAATAGCAATTAGTTAATACAATCCGTTTTATGTAAATGAAACTTATTATCAATATAAAATTTTTTTTTTTCATATTTTTGTAGAGTACATAAATACATACATTACATACATATTATATATACGTGTATATAAACATAGCCATCGGGAATAAAAAAAGTTCAATTATTTTAATTTATAATGCAATAATTATATAAAATTTATTAGTTATTATGTAAGAGTATTCCTTGACCTCAAAATTGCAGTGGTACTATATGTATTATTACACAATTCAGCAAATACAACGCATAACCTGAAATGTGTATTGATACTGTATATCTATAATATTGAAGTCATGGATTATAATAACTTATTTAGAAAAAACACAATAAAATTTTATTTGATGATATTTAGTAATTAACTAATATAATTAATTTCTAATTATTATTTATTTTAAAGTTTAATTATTGAATACTCAAAAAAACTAAAGAAATCAATTCACTATTATAGACTTCCATCCATACATGTGAATCAAAAATGTCATTTCATTATTTAATTATAATTATAAATGATCTCTCATAAACTTTTAATATTATTATATATTATAATTAAAATAATAATAATAAAAAAAATTATAATATATTATTTTCTTTCATTCTTATTCTTAATATTTCGTTTTTTTATGTTTTCTACCAAATTACATAAATCGTTTTAACAAAAAATACAATAAATATGAATCGAATAAAATATACGTAAATATGAACAATTGGGAATTAACATTTAATTTCATGAACAACCTAACAAATCAACGACCAAATTTTATGTTATTATTTTAACTAATAATTAAAAAAAATTAAACTTTAAACACAAATATAATAATTTTAATTAAATATAAAATTATTATATTTGTGTTTAAAATATGTTAGGTGGTAATTTAATAGATCCAACACATACAACACCAGCAACTATTCTTACCTTAGAAAACGGTATAGCAACTATAAATACAATAGGAACAAATTCTACAGCAGCAGTAGTAACATCAGGTGTAATATCAGATGATAGTACAGCAACATCAACTTTATCAAATGGATCAAAAAATATGGATAATTTAGTAATGTTGTCAAACAATGAAATGCACTTAATAAATCATGACGATAATTCAATATTATTAAAATCCAAACATACGTAGCTATATATACATATATATATATATATATATATATATATATAAATATATATATATAAATATATATATATAAATATATATATATATAAATATATATATATATATATATATATATATATATATATATATGAATATATTGAACTATATATATATATATATATATATATATATATATATATGAATATATTGATATATATGTGTTACACATTTTGTTTATCAATCACTTTTTTCAAAATTGCAGTAGTACAATATTAATACACGTTTCGGCTTGTGGGTTATAATAACTTAAAGGTGTATAAATAAATGCATTAATGCAAAATAAAATTGATATATATAATGTATATATATAATAAATATAATATATATATATATATATATATACATATATATATATATATATATATATATATGTATATTTGTATATAAATATACATAAACATAGCAATATAAACAAAAAAAAAAACAACTAAAATTTTTATTATTAGAAAAATTGAATAATGAAGTATTTGGTAAAAAAAAATATATAATAAAAATGCCAATTTGAAATAGTTATTGAAACGAAAATGCTCTAACCTAAAGTAAAACGATTCATAACACATACCTACATATATATATGTATGAATAATAAAAGTATGTGTCAACGTTATATATTAATATATAAAGAAATTGCATTATTTGCTTTTCAGTAACTGCCTACATTGTATAAATTACCTTAAATACGATTGCGTTTGTACAAATTAGTTACAGACATTGCAGTTGTCAAATCTTGCTGTTTAAAAACGATTTTAATGTCAAATTTAAATTCAAAATAAAATTTAATAATATTGTAGAAAGATTTTTTGAATTGTTTAACTTATTAAATATTACTAGTAAAATCGATAATCGATAAAGTTAATTATATTAAACTCTCTAAATTGTAGGCAGACTGTTTTATACATATATATAATTTAAGTTACTTATCTTATTTTTTGTGTTTATTTTTGAAAATGCATTTAAGATTAGTTAGTTTACGAAATATATTCTAAAAATTCCTAATGCATTAACCATTTTTTATGTTGAAATATTAGATTTAATTTCTTTTGTCTAAAGAAAACTAACTGAATTAATATTTTTATTTTTATTAAAAAAAACACATAATAAAAATTTATATAGTTATGTAAGTGATTTACGTAATAAAAAATAATATAATACAGTAAAAAGAAAACAAAAGCGAAAAACGATGAAACACCATTTAATTTTTTTGAAAATGCATTAAAAACGGTATTTACACTCAAACCTAGCATTTATTTTTTAACAAGGTGAATCAATTTCGAATTGAATTTTGTTTCGATGCATTTAGATTTTTTTTTCTTCTTTTTTTTTTTGAGAATACTAACGACGAACATTGAATAATTAATTCAACATTCAACATTGATTCACTTAAACGATCAAAATATATATATAAATTAATTGATTCTCTATTAATGCAAAAAATTTATTTCTTAGTTTTAAAAAAATTGTATGCATTATGCATTATAAAAGGCGTTAAGGAAGGTATTTAATAATAAAAATCTAAAATTCTGTAATAACATAGTAAAATGTCTTTTTATATAATAAAAAAATTAAAATTAAAGAAGGTGCTGCCCAAATTTCTCAAAAAAATTTAATTAAAACTAAAAAACCTTTTCTTAAGATTGCTTGAGAACCGGTCTCAGTCGGAAAAATAAGAAGTTTTTGTTTTATTACATTTTATTACATTTTTTATGAATTTTTTTAGCAATAATTAAAGCATCATAAAATAATTATTATGCAAAATCTCTTCCAACTTATAATATAATAATAGTTTTTAATATTGTAAAATAATTTAAATTTTGAAAAGAAAAAATACTGAATTATTATTGATTTAAATAAAATTTTATTTGCCAATGTTTTTATATAATTAGTAATATAAAAAATTATGATGGATCTCTTTTTAATTTAACCTAAACTTATTCAAAAAATATTTTTTTTTTGAAAACATACAGGTTTATGTTTTTTTTTGTATAACATATTAATAAATAAATATGAATTCAATAAATAATAACAATAATAAAGTAGCAAAAATCGTATAGGTTTGAATCTCAAAAATAATGTAACTAAAATAAAATTTTATTTTTTTTTATTTTTTATATAAATGTACGTTTAAATTAATGTTTGTATTGTAAAAAAAGGTACCGTGACATCAAAAATGTAGTAATGCTTTCCTGTTACATAATTTATAAGCTGAATTGTTTATTATTGCACAGTATTATTTCAATTTTGAAGTCAGACAAATTAAGGACAAAAACATACCTTTTATATATACATAATCAATTAAAAACAAAATTCTTATGAATGTTTAATATATATATGTGTATATATATATGTATGTATGTATATATGTATATGTATATATATATATATAAATGTGTATGACTATAGCGTAACATTGCATTACAATTATTTCTTAATTAACTATAATTCAAATTTTTTAATTTAAACCTTTAAATATCCAATAAAATTTTATGTCCTATATTATTTTATGAATAAGTTTGTTTTATGTTGTAAATATATATATATATATATATATATATATATATATATATACATATATATTTTATATTATATATAATATTTTTATATTTATGGAATAAATTTTTATGTGTATTAGAAATCAGTCTATGTTTATATATTATATAACATACAATATTTTTGTTTTAAAAATTTATTAATTTCCGAAAATAAAAATAAAATATATGTAAAATCAAAAAAAACATGCAAAATACAAAAAAAAAACAAAATTTAATAAATTTTAAATAATAAGAAACAAAAAAATCAATACTTAAATTTGTAATGCAGTAAAACATCTTTTTGTAATAAAATTTTGAATAACAAAATTAACTTTATTATAGTGATTACATAATAAAATAGAGTTGAAATAAAATGTCAAGCATAATTTTCTTAGACAAATATATAATATGTATGTACATGTAATATAAAATAGTTTCTTTTAATAATTTATTTATTTTTTTTATCTAAATTAGAACCTGTTTTTCTCTCGTTTTTAACACTGCTTGGTGAAAAAAAAAAATTGTTAAAAATTCAAAAATAAATAATAAAAAGATCGAGTTTTAAGTTTAAGACTATCTCCGAAATCAAAAAGAATTACATATTTCGTGTTAAAAACTCGAGGCAAAAATTCTTATATCAAATATCAATTAAACTATATATATAAAAAAAACTATGTTATTACATTAGATGTAATACTATTATATGTGTAACAAAAAAAAAATTAATGAAATTTGGTTAAATAACATAAATAATTAAATTAATAGTTGGCAATTAAATTAAGAAAAATAAAAACAAAAATAAATTTTTACAAAAAAGAAAAAATATTCAGAATTTAATAATTAAAAATGAAAAAAAACATGTTATATAATTAATGCATATGTATGTAATCATCACCGTAATCAACGAATAACAAAAAAAAAAGACAAATTTATACCATTTCGAAGTTTTGAGATAAAAAACAATTTTTATAAATGAAATTTAATATTTTTTTGTTTTTAATTTAAATTCAATATTTTTTACAATTAAATGAATCGAAAACCAGCTAAAACCAAAATAAGTACCTAATTAAAAAAATGTTAAAAGAAAAATTCAAGAAAATAAATTAAAAAATATATTATTAAAGAAAAAGAATTAACATTAAAAAACTTCACTTACGAATATCAATTAAAAAAAATGAAAATTGACATTCGGGTAGTAAATTTATTGTCAGAATTCACTAAATTCACAGTAGCTGTAATACCGATACTAATATACAATTCAGTTTATAATTTACAATTATTGAATTAAGTAACAATACCGCGTATTCACCACAATTTTGAAATCAGGCATTGTAATTAAATCAAATAATTGTGATATCCGTAATTTCAATTTTTTTCTTTTCTTAATTTAATTTTTAAATTTTAAACACATTGCAAATTTTATGAATTAGCGTTATTGGATATTATCCTTGTGATTTTACTTTCCTGACTATTATTTACTTTCCAGAAAATTTTTATAGCTTAATAATCAAAAATAATAATTTTGCTATTGTTTGCTAATAGTTTTACTATGCGTAAGTTCAATGAATATTAAAAAAAATTCTAAGCGTAACACTGCATTTTTGATTTCATTAAATAAATTTTAATTCTACTAGTTACACAACTTTATTAATTCAATATCAAGCATAAAGGAAGCAAAATAAGTTTTGAACGGAATAACCTGACTTCAAAATTGCAATAATTATATGGTATTAAAACACACATTTCAATTTTATTATTTTCAATAGCTGAATTCATGTAATATATATAGAATATTATTACAATTTTGAAGTTACACATAATATTTGTTACAATTTGAAGTCGCGTAAAAGCAAACAATATAATTTATCCTATGTATATAACAAAAATTGATAAATTTTATATATGAATGCATAAAAAAAAATTTTATTACGAAAAATTTAATTAAATATATAAAATATAATACAAAAAAAAAAAAAATCAAACAGAGAAAAAAAAACTCAACGGCATATTTTTTAACTAAAATGTTGGGTTTTTTTTAAAAAGTAATAATTTTTATATACATATGCATGTGTTTTTGTATTGCGTAAATCGCGGTGTATTTTATTGGAATATGCAACTACAATAATTACTAAAATAAACATTCAGTAATTTTGATATCCGTTTCCTTGACTTCCAAAATGCTGCAATACGCTATTAATACACAATTAAACTTATAACTGTGAATTGCTGTTGTATGTTGGAAGTCGAGGTTTATCGTGAAACATTAGATTATCTATATATTGTAATTGGAAATTTCGAAACAGTAACAACAAAATACGAAAAATAAAAGTATAAAGAATTATTGAGAAATAGAAAAATTATTTAATTAATTTTTGGTTGTATTTGAAATACAATTAAAAAACATACTATAGTAATAAATAAAATCATATAAAAAATATTGTAACA